AGCGTGTTTGCTGTCATTTCTTAACGAAGTTTTGAAATCATCTATGACAAAGACATGGGATGATAAATTTGGAGTTGGAAGGGATATTAAATCACCTGCAATCACACACAGACATATTTCTGATGACAAAGAAGATGTCCACAGAAAGTTATTAATCTTCCCATGGTCAAAGAGGCAGCTGGTAGTGTCCAATGACCTTTCTAAGGGGCACCTTGCAGCTGCAAAGATAGATGAAGAGCACCTGACACAATATCACAGCCATGTGGTTTTAGCCTATCAAACATTTTGTACCTAAGAGTGTCAAAGAGCTGTTACGTAATCATTCTTTGCAAATGCATTATTCTCAAAGTCTCAGCAATTTCCTTCTTCAGCATCAACCCCAAATCCTCCAAATCCTTCATTGAATTCCTATTTATAATGTTTTTGATGTTTCCTTTAATCTCTGGCACTTTAATCTCTGACTAGATGACAAGTTATTGAGTCAATGGGTATATGAGTAGATTCCTCCGTATGTACATTGTAGTTCAGTCATTTCAGTCATGTCTCTTGGGGACACCAGTTGGGATTTTCTTGGCAAAGATACTGGAGCGGTTTTTCAATTTCCTTCTCCAGCTCATTTTACAGATGAGGAAGCTGAGACAAATATGGTTAAGTAGCTTGCCAGGACTCATATTGCTAGTCAGTTCCTCAGGCTAGATTTGAACTCAGGTCTTCCCGACTCCAGGCCCAGTGATCCATCCACTGTGCCTGCTAGATGTGAAACAAAGGCTATTTCTCCTAATACCAAGACTAATAAATCCCCATGAGCTGCTCTCCTAATGTCTGCGGTTTAGAGTTTCGTGTTTACCAGAGGATGCCCTTCTTACCTTGCTCATACTGCTCCCTGATCCCCATCCAATTAAGAATTTCTCTGCAAGTTAATATCCTTCTCTGCCCTCTCCTTTTATTTTGCCCTTTAGAAATTGTCCCCATTCGATAAGTAATAGAATTCTCTTTTTAATTCTCCCATTCCTTCCACCTTCTTGTACATATCACACCCTGAGCACTTTATAAAAACATTGCACGGTCACTTTTGCTAGGATTGAGTGTACCTCTTATTATCTCCTCCAATTTAATGGGCAAAGATAAAGTGTAGGTTTATGTTTTTTAACCTCCATTGCCGCTTCTAGACCCTCTGTATGATAACATACAGATTTTGGATTTTGGATTCACTCCACCTTCCCACATTGCCCTACCTAGATTCAAATATCATTCACCTAACCTTGGTCATTAAGTCTTTATCAAACAGTTCAGCACTTGCTTCACTGTCTATTTCTTTACCTCAAGGCTTAACCATAAATTATGTTCTTCCAGAGTAGACCTTCTTTTAAATGTCCTGGATTCCCAAGTAACTAACTTCCTGAATTTCTCTCATATATGACTTCACTTCATGTAAGCTGCACAGAGGATTAGAGTATCAGGTTTGGACTATGTAGGGGGTTGTGACAGTCAACATTGCAATGTGTTTCATTTTAGGAACATCAACTTTATTAGTGAAACAGATAATATTTATATACAGAATATGTGATACACATAGCTTTTAATGGTCTTCCTTTCTCCCAAAAAAACAAAGCAAAACAAAACAAAAAAATACTTCATACCAAGCTATGACCTACTGTTTGCTACAGGTTACATTAAATCAGAAATGCTGCCAGTACTCAGTATATGGTTATTTACAAAACCTGAGCAGAGATATGTTGGTGCTAATTTAAAGAGGATGAGAAGAATCAATAGCACCATAAGTACACCAAAGCTAAATTGCTTCTAGATTCCTAGATTTACATTGAATTTCCACCTGAACATTTTGACCTACTACAAACAGTGATACTCTCAGTTTCACTATTACTATTTATGATGCAGAAAATTGATATCTTTTTCTTTTCTCAGTCTCTTATACCTCTCTCCCTCTCTCTCTCTCTCACACATACACACATGCACACACACACACACATACACACACATGCGAACTTCTAATTTTTTTCTCACAATTTTGCCCAATCACTCTAGACTTCTCTTTTCTCTCAGCTTATCACCCCTACTTAGTTTTTACTTCCTTCTCATTGCAATATTTATCTTATAGTTAACATACTAACATATACTATTCTCTAACATCTAGTACCTTGATCCATTTTTCCTTACCATTAAAGCCTGAATAAAAGCCAATACAGAATTAACCATATTATGGATGTTCTCTTCTTCTACCCATGTATTGTTAAACATCCCTGTACAGAGATAGTAATACTACCATGATGCCTGGGTCCACTGAAAATTTAGGTTTACTTATTACAACCGTGCAACCAATATACTTTCTTGGTTGAGTCTCTAAAGAACTCCTCATAGCTGCTTGTACAAAAACTTTCTTTAGCAAATTCCCACAGCAGTTTTTGCCCTCTTTAATTCAAGAGAGGGATTCATGTTATGCTTCTGTGAGCAAATAAATAGAATCCATCAGAAGCTTTGTGTTTTGCACTGATCTGAATTTCAATACGTTCTTGTTTAGCATTCTCCCATTTGCAAATTCTTTGGTCCAGTCTCAGATGAAGAGGTGTTCCTTCTCTTTTCAAAGATGAATGCTTCTATTTGTGGCTATCTCAACCCATTATCTCCTGTCCTGGATGTTTGTGGGCATCCAATTTTAAATGGCCAACAATTATTTTCATATGTGGTTCAATTCCTTGATAATTCCCTGATAATTCTTATACATAGATAATTCTTATAGACAAACATACATAAAGTAAATTATTTTTTAACATTAAATGTTAATTAGAAATACTGAAAAGCAAAAGTATATGCTATTTTTCTAGATTAACTTACCATTAGTCCCTTTAGAAGTCTTCCTCTACTATTTCTATTAATCTTGTACTTATAGCTTTATATTTAAATTAAAATGGTCTACTTTCAAATAAAATCCATATATTTATTATGTTTGCAATTTTTTGGCTTATGAATAATTTTAAGATCATTTGGTGGTATTTGGTTTTTTGCATAGTCTAGTATTTTAATTTTAAACTTTTCTCATTTTTTTCTGTTGAAGGAATTTTTATTTGTATTTATAATTCTGTAGACTTGCAAGTATGTATTTCCAAAATCTATGGAGTATGTATGGAGCAGACATATAATTTATAGCAACAAATTTACATATTAACTTATTTCACCAGCATAAGATTTTGGGATAAAAATTCATTATTTTGTAAAAGTTGTTTGGAAAAGTAGAAAAGAGTATGGCAGGTAATGGGTTTGGGCCAATATTTCATACTAATTACACAGATAAGGTCTGAATGGATACATAACCTACATATAAAGAGAGATTTTGCAAAAAGAAAAACAGACATGTATAGGTGAACAATTTATGAATAAACAAGTTACAGAGAGCAAATTTAGGTGTAAAAGGGATAATTTCAATTCCATTCATTTAAAAAGATTCTGTACAAATAAAATTAATTTAGCCAAGATTACAAGGAAAGAAGCAAATTAGGGGAAAATTTTATAAATTTATCCAATGAATGTTTCATATCTCAAATATATAAGAATAAGAGTCGTTCCCCAATTGATAAGTGGTCAAAGGATATTAGCAGAAAGTTTTCTGATGAAGAAATTGAAACAATTTAGTCATATAAAAATGCTCTAAATCATTATTGATCAGAGAAATGCAAATTAAACAAACTTGAGATATTTTGAATCTACCAGATTGGCTAAAATGAGGGGAGAAATGACAAAAGTAAGAAAGGATTTGGACAATTTGAGACACAATTTCATTGTTAATGGAAATGTGAACTGATCCAAAAATTTTGAAGAATAATCTGGAATTATGGTCAAAGAGTTATTAAACCACCTATACCATTCTACCCAGCAATACCACTATTTGGTGTCTTTCCAAAAAAAAATTAGGAGAAAAGGAAAAGAACATATATATCATAGAATATTTCTAGCAGCTCTACTTATGGTAGTAAAAAATTAGAAATAGCAGGGGTGCCAATCAATTGGGGAATGACTGAAAAAGTTGTGGTATATGATAGTGATGAAATACTAATGTATACAAGAAATGATGAGCTCAACGATTTTAGTAAAAAAAATGGAAAGGCTTGCATGAAATAACAAAGAACACGATGAGCAGAACCAAGAGAATGTTGTCTGCTGTGGCAAATGTTCTGTAATTTTTGAAATATATAATTTGGAAATGAGTGATTACACCCACTATGGATATGAATACTTACTATAATAAAAATGTTCAGATGGGCATATAACTGATAGGGAACCATGTAAATATATATTTTTTAATCTGTAAAATGAAAAACAGCTGATAAATCACCCTTCCCCATTTAGCCTTGTTTTATCAACTCCACCCTTCCATAGGAAAAAAAAAACAGAATTCAGCAATATATCAATCAATATAAGACATATAGAAATGTCTAACTTAACCAGCTAGAGAATTCTTTTATCTAGCTTTTGGTGGTATACTAAACAAGTTTTAAAGCATTGTGTGATGCCTGCTATGGAACATCCAATCATTGACCTGTTACAATAGTACCCATCCCTCCCCTACCAAAAAACAAACAAGCAAAAAGAAAAAAAAAAACAACCTTGATTCCTTATTAAAAAGTACGGCTTGTTGTCTAAAATTTCAATTCAGATAAATATATAATGCTGAGGACTTCCCATAAAGTTTAAACACTTGTGGGGTATATTATATGGGATTTCCCCTGATATTAGAAGCTTTTCATTCTATTTAGTTTAAATTATTTTTATTAATTAATTTCTTTGTGTATTTATTGGTTTCATTGTTGTGGCTTTCATTGCCATAGTGATCTCCAGAATCCTTGAAATTAGACCTTAGAGTATTAAGTCCCACCAAAAAAGAAAAAAAAACTTTTCAGGCTATGTCAGCTAATATGAGTAAAGAGAGATTAAAACAGATATCTCCATAAGTGTGCATACTTATTTTAGCTTATTATCCAAAACAGTCATATAAATATCAGGATCTTTTTTCTAGTGATAGCATTCTTCAAGGCCCTCTTCACTTCTTCATTTCTCAGGCTGTAGATTAAAGGGTTCAATATTGGGATAACCACTGTGTAGAATACAGATATCACTTTGCCTTGAGTTGGGGAGTAGTTTGAATTTGGACACAAGTAAGTAACAACTGAAGTTCCATAAAATATAACAATGGCTGTAATATGAGAAGCACAGGTTGAGAATGCTTTGCGCCTCCCTTCAACTGAATTCAAGCGTAGAATGGAGAAGAGGATATAGATATAAGAGGTAAGGATGATCAGAAATGTTCCTAACATGTTTATCCCAGCACAAATGAAAATGATAGTTTCATTCATTTGAATATCAGAGCAGGAGAGTTTAAGGATTGGGGGACTGTCACAGAAAAAGTGATGGATGACATTGGAGTCACAGAAGGATAAGCTACTTATGTAACTGGTATGAATAATTGAGTTCAGGAATCCTGCTGTGAAGGCCCCTGTGACCATCTTCAGGCACACAGTCCTTGACATAATAACTTGGTAAAGGAGAGGATTACAGATGGCCACATAGCGGTCATATGACACATCAATCCAAAGAGAATATACTCAGTGGTTGCTAAAGCAATAAAAACATACATCTGCAGAAAGCAGCCAATAAAAGAGATGACTTTTCTTTTAGACAGTAAGTCAGCTAACATCTTGGGAGCAATAGTTGAAGAATAAAAAATATCAGCCAAGGACAAGCTGGTTAGAAAAAAATACATAGGTGTGTGGAGTTGAGAGTCTATCATGATTAATGTAATCATCCCTGCATTTCCCATCATTGTGAGAGTGTAGAGCAACAAAAATAATACAAAAAGTATAACTTGAAGTTCAGGTGAGTCTGTTAACCCTAGCAAGATGAATTCAGTCACTGCAGTACGGTTTTTCCCGGGACATTTATTCCAAAAAATCAGTACAGTCCCATACTGTAAAATCCTAGAAAAACAACAACAAAAAAAATACAATGAGAGGAGGGCTGACTTAACTGAAAAATGAGTTTGAAAATCTGACAGTTATAAAGAGCTGCTGACATAAATTCAGATTGAGAAGAGTGTTAAGTGTGTCACCCTAACCTCAGCAACTCATGAAGTCTGTGTTTATAAAATGGTGGCCTTATTGTTTTGTTTTGTTTTTACCTTCATTAAGTATCACCTTTCCTCAAGACCATATGCTAGGTGATAGGAATTTAAATGGTCAATTTCACAAATAAATATAAAATAAGAAGAAAGATTTCAGCAAGAGAAAAGCACCTAGCAAAATATGGTGAGAAACTTGAGAATAATGACGAAAAAATTGTCGAAGTAAAAAAAAATATATTTGGTTCAGGGTATAGTCTTAAATCATGAGATAATCTGTGTACTTTAGGATAAATCTCAATCTCTCTAAAAGCCAATTTTGTCAGTTTTGGGGGGAGATTATCCTGGTACATTTCAAGACACATACTAACTCTAATTCTAGAATCCTATAATTAGCTTGCTAGAATTTGGAGTGGGCATTGAGCAAAAGAATTATTTCTAAACTTATTAAGTCACTCATTCCACAAGCGTTTTTGAGCACTTGTATGCCAGGCAGCTAGGTAGCACAGTATAAAGAGCACTAGGCCTGGAATCAGGAAGACTCATCTTTTCTTTTATTTTTTCTTTCTTTCTTTTTTTTTTTTTGGCTAGGCAATGGGCCCAAGGCATACAGCTAGTAAGTGTTATGTGTCTGAGGCTGTATTTGACCTCAGGTCCTCCTGCATCCAGGGTCGGTGCTCTATCCACTGCACCACCTAGCTGCTCCTGAAAGACTCATCTTCAGGAGTGAAAATCCAGGCTCAGAAACTTACTAGATGAGTGACCCTGGTCATCACTTAACCATGTTGGCCTCACTTTCCTCATCTATTAAATGAGGTAGTGAAGGAAATAGAAAATCGCTCTAGTATCTTTGCAAAAAAAAAAAAAAGAGAGAGAGAGAGAGACCCAAGTGGGTTCACAAAGCATCACACATGACTCAAACTATTGAACAACAACAATACTATAGGATGAACACTAAACTTGGCTCAATGGGTCATACAAAAGACATGAAAGCACTTGTACAGTAATTGTAATATGCTCCTGCCTGGTCTGATACTATCATCCCTGAAGGCATGCATCTGGAAGGTATAAACCAATCAAAGAGATTTAATAAATATTAAATCAATGTGAAATCGTTGTTAGGAAGGATGGGGTTGATATCGAGATCTGGCCATGATGAGCCTGGTGACTGTAGGCAATTCACTTGTTCTCTCAAAGACTCTGTGAGTTGAAGTCTAAAATGAAAGGAATGATATTTTCAGTACTATTCGTGAGGAGGAACTCTGGGAACACTAGCCTTATTTTAATTAAAAAAAAAAAGCAATTACACCTGCTGCCAGGAATTCTCTGTTTGAGCTTCTGAAAACTCAGTTCACAATGTGGAAATAAAAATACCTACCCAAACTACAGAACCTTATGATCGAAATGATGTCTTCACAGTAATCCAAACAGATATTAAAAATCTCTTCCATGCTCTGTTTCCCATCAGGGTACATGGCTTGATCAGTTGGACAACTTCAAGGAGTAAAATTCCTCTCTCCAGCTTCTCTGTCTTAGCTTTCCTCAAAGTTCCTTTGACTAGAGAGTCTGTTTTCTCTTTATAGTAGATTAATTCCCAGTGCTATTAAACCATTGCGGAGGGGGGGTTGGAATCTAGATCTCTTTTTTATCTTTAATAGGAATAGAGTGAGAAAACTCTTTAGGGATCAACCTTAGGGGAATTGTTCCACCAGAATATGATGGAATATGGGAATACAAAAATGACTTAGGGGGAAATATAAGCTTTATTTTTTTCCTTTTTGTTTGAATACCTTAGGGATGATAGTTTAATTCAGATCTTCTAAACAATTTATCCTGTGACTTGGAAAAAGCATGTTGTTAAACTGATGATTTTTTTTATTAACACAATACCAGAATGTATAGATAACAAATTAGATGACAAATTGTTGTTGTTTTGTTTCAGTCTTTTACAACTCTTCTTGAATCCATTTGCAATTTTCTTGGCAATGGTGTTGGGATGGTTTAACATTTTTTTTTTCTCCAGTGCATTTTATAAATGAGGAACTGAAGCCAACAGGGTTACAGGTTTATTCAATGACTTCAATGTAGTATAAATGATATTTTTCATGATATTTGATAGGAAAGTTGTTATTAACACGACAGTAGGACATATAGATAACGTTAGGCATTAAGAACAGGGTCTAAAAGGACATCAACATTTTATGATATTAGATAAAATTTAGTAAAATTAAATTTTATAGGGAAAATACAGAGTTGTAGACTTCTGTTCAAAAAGAAATGTGCAAGGGAAATATCCAGAGGATGGAAAAATTATGTAAAAATATTTTTGGACTTCAATATAAATCACTAAGCAATCTAAGGCTGAAGTAATCAAAGCAGAATTCCTAGGACCACATTGGTTAGTGCACTACACTGTTTTTTGTTTGTTTTTGTTGTTTGTTTGTTTTTGTTGTTTGTTACTTTATGCCCAGTGTACATCTGGAGGGTTTTTTCAATGTTCTAGGCAAGCTTTTTAGGAAAGACATTCACCACCTGGCAAACCTCCATAGGAAACCAATTATGATGAAGAAGGGATGTGAGATGCTGCCACAGGAGGATAGGCTGAGTGAACTGAGTGTGTTTAACCAATAAAAGAGAGGGTTTGCTAGGCAGGTCATGAAGACTGTCTTTAAGAATTTAAGGGATAGATAAAGTCGATAGATTTTTCCTATGTGCAGACAAGGAATTTTGTCTTCAGATCAAAAGATCTTAAATATAATCATGAAAGAGACATAGAGGTCATCTATTCTAATCTTCACATTTCATAATTGTGGAAACTTACACCCAAACATGCAAAGTGCCAGCTAAAGTGACATATGATGAAACAGAGCTGGGGCTGAACCCATGTCCTCTGATTCCAGATGCAGTATTGATTTGATTGCCAATTCCTAATAATAGGAACTATCCCAAGGAAGATTTTTTATTCTTTTCTTTTTTGTTGTTGTTGTTTTTTGCTTTTTGGCAAGGCATTCAAGGTTAAGTGACATTCAGGGTCACATAGCTAGTAAGTGTCATGTGTCTGAGGCTGGATTTGAACTCAGGTCCTCCTGACTCAGGGGCCCAGAGCTCTATCTACTGCGCCACCTAGCTGTCCCAAGAATTGAAGGTTTTAAGGGATTAATGGATTCACCTGCTACTGGTCCATGTGGAGAAGAAAAGATTGGTCTCTATAATTTTCAACATCAAATAGAAATTTCTGTTTGGAAAGTAATAGCTTTTTATAACACAATTCCTTCCAGCAGTGTTTCTCTTCTTCCACTTTAATCCCTTCCATCAACTCTGCAATGTGGTTACACTTGCTTACACACAACGTCCGGGAAATGTCACTCCAGTTCCAGCCTCCATATCTTTTCAGAGGCTTTGTGACATACCTGGAGTGTCCTTTTTCCCTCTTAGATTCCCTGCTTTTAATTAAGAGTTAGACAAATTAAAATATTTTGGAAATAAGCTGTTTCCCAGAGCTAAGGCCCAGCAAGCAGGCTGTGTCCTATACTTACAACAATAATCCTTTGCACTCCAGTTGATATGACACTCTGGCAAGGTGTATTGCTTGACTAACACCTGGTGTTGAGGGATTTCGTTCCCACTTTTTCCCAGGGCCATCTATCACATATTCACAATCCCTGTTCCTTATCACTGAAAGGTACAACACTCCTGTTCTTGCCCCACAGGTTGGGCCCAGTCTCCAAAAGGCTTGAGAGAATACTGTTTCACAGGACCAGTGTGAAGAGTACCTCAAGGCTTAAAAATGGCTATATCATGGTCCAGGCCAGCATTTATATAAGACCTGCCTTTAGTCTAGCATATTAAGCCTATTAAGAGGGGGATTCCATATGTATTTGTCATTTTCCTCACTTTGAAATTAATTAAACTTCTGTTTTGTGTTCCGACTCTCCTGTCTCTAGGCTGCTAATTGTTCAGCTCCGACCACACAGTTTAGAGGCTGGTTCAAGACCACTTGACATGCAAAATCATATTTTCTGCAGCAGGCTTCTCCTGCTCTGGCTCTTGTGGGAGCTTCTGCTATCTTCCTCTATGAAACAGTCTTCCATCTACTCTGTTTATTTCAAGTATCTATTTACATGTTGACTCCTGTGAGACAACGTGAGCTCCTTGAGATCAGGGTTTCTTTTCATGATTCTTTTCTCCTTTATAAGGTACAAAGAGCTTTGCCCAGTACCTGGAATGCAAAAGTGTTTAGAGAAGATCATCACGGTGTCTAGGTTCTGAACCCCAGTTTACCTATCAATTATAGGATTGTGTTTATTTTGTTATATTGGATTTGGTTTCAATCCACAACAACATTCCAGAGATATTCAGTGAGTCTACACATTTTACCGAAGTATCTAACTTCTTGCTGATGCCCTAGACTTCTTTAGGTCACTTTTAACTCAAGTGGATAAATCCAAATCATGAATAATCCATCTAACTCAATGAACTGACATCTGGCCACTGCATGAACTGAAGTACCATATTTTGCAAATACAGATTGTATAACTCAAATTATCTGTTAGAACCCACTAACTGATATTATCAGGGCATGCTATAAACTTAATCTCCATGGCCAGTGCTGTAAAAGTTCCTATGTGTCCTAGTGTAAATAATGCGTGATTGTTGGCTGACATAATCAAGCTCAGCATCTTTAGAAACTTGTTATCTATCCCTAAGATAATTGTCATTTCCAAAAGCTCTTCCTTGTCTCATTGAGCTTCTAAAAAACTCAAAAACTTCTCTAAAATACAATGAAGTACCAAAACAGTCTACTTATTTTATTTTTTTTACATTTTATTAATAATTTTATTTACATAATAATCATTCCTCATCTACCCTACAGATCAAGGCCAATATTGTGGTGAAGAAAAACTATTTTAAAAAAAAAAGAATTCTAGTGCAGATCACTTGTCTGATGGTGTGCAAAATAGTCTATAAATAATATATCCCATAATCAATGTTAATTGGGCTAAAAGACATCCTCTCTCAAAGAAACTGTACTCTAATCAGACTGATCCGATTAGAAAGGTAACAGAGCCAAATTATTATTTAGGGAAATTTTTTATTCCACAGCACCAAACCTCTAATTTTTCTATACCTATTGTCTCTGTCTCCACAGCCCAGACTCTGGGACTTTTGTGTGAATTTTTCTATCCAAAAGAAACAATACATCTTTCTCACCTTTTTTTTTTGGGACTCTAACACCTATCACAAGACAGGGGACTCTTCGATTTTTTGTTGAATTGAATGAAAAAGGAATGGATGGAAGGGAATTGAAGTTAATAAAAACTACCTAGTGAACAAGTGGTGGGGGATAGATAGATAGATAGATAGATAGATAGATAGATAGATATAGATAGATATACATATATGTATATATATGTAGAGAGAGATTTGATTAACAGAGATAATCATAGAAAAAATCTCATTTCATTAAATATTTCTAAATTATACATAAAATTTTTAAATATTACTTTAGAAAAAAATGAGTTCTAAATTCTCTCCCTCTCCTTCAACCTCTCACTCATCCCTTGAGAAGTCAAGTGATCTGATATTAATTATACATGTCAAGTCATGAAAAAGTTAATTTCGTATGTCTCATTTTGCAAAAGGAAAACATACACGTAAAGAAAAATAGAGTAAACAAAAGTATGCTTTAGTCTGCACTCAGAGTTCATCAGTTCTCTTTCTACAGGTGTATTACATTTTTCATCATTGGTCCTTTGGGATTCTTTTGGATCACTCTATTGATCAGAGTAACTAAGTCTTTCACAGTTGATTATCATTAAAATATTGCTGTTACAACATACAATGCTCTCCTGGTTCTGCTCACTTCAGTGTGCATCAGTTCATTATGTCTTCCTAATTTTATTTCTGAAACCACATTGTCCATCTTATCTTATATCATAATATTATTCCATCAAAATCATATATCCCAACTTATTCAGTCACTGCTCATTGATGAGTAATGATAGGTTTCTGTTGCTTAATCTTTAAAAGTTTCAGGGGCTTTGATACAACAATTTTCTTTTCTAAAGCTTCAATAAGTGTGTGTTGTCACAGCGATGGGAATAATTGCCAGGCCAAATTTTGGCTGCAGGAATTGTGTTAGAAGCTTTGAATTGAATGTTCATGTATTTACAAGTTTATTGCTGAATGACATCTAATTTAGAACTGACAAAACTAAACCCAAGAGAAAATATCTGAGTTGTTCAAAGTCCCATAAATAATTAGTGGCGGGTCCCAGGCAGCAGCTGCTTCAGGAGCTTCCTGCTCACAGACTGAGGGGGAATGGAGTGGCTGATCAGAGGGGGATTGTAGAGATCTCTTTGCTGGTTCTGAGGCAATTTCTTTTTCTTTGACTATGCTTGGATCTGCGTCACAGTTCTGGGGGTGGTCTGGGGTCAGGGAGGAATGCTGGCATGGTGGAGCTTGTAGTGGTGGT